CAGAATTGTCGCCTACAGCACCGGATAAAAATAACAGAAGCGGCAAAGATGCTGCAGGAAACTTTGTCAAGACGACAACTTTGTGAAGGCTCAACTTATAATTTCTTCGCAAAAAGTTTTACAGCCACTCCTTTCTCTAGCGCAGTTTGAAAGCCTTGGGAAGAGTGTCCAATATTTTTTCTTCTCGAAGGAGAAAGAAATAATGTAACAAATTATTCGAACTATCCATATGTGGATGCGGTTGCTTTCGATTGCCGCATTAACCGTGCCTACATGACCATTCATGTGGTCTCTCAGCAAACTCTTCTTAGTCCGAACAATATTATTCATTGCAGTCTCCGCAACTTAAATTTTGAGATAAATTACAAGATGTCTCTCTTAATTCACCCACCAGTTCAACTGCTATTTCGTCAAGAGAAACGTCTCAAATATCTCTCAATCACATACTGGCATATTTTGTGACTTCTGTCTTGTACCTCTCGTATCCACGTAACGTCGCGTATTCCTTAGATACTATCTTCCTGCTCCTTCATCCGCGGGGTCCGCTTTGCAGAGACGAGTCTTCGCACACAGCAGTCTCCCGTCTTCGCCGCAGCGCCGCGCTCCTTCCCGCGACTTTCTTCGATCCCCGCTGCCGACTGCCCCCACCCCCGGCCTCGGGAGACGGCGCGTTTTACGACAGGGGCACCGTCCCCGCCGCCACCGCGCAGCCGGCGCCGGCCCAGCGCCAGCGCGCTAGCCCCTGCCCGCTCCGCCCCAGCACAACCCGCTGCGCCTCGGCCCGACGCGCTCCGCTCCGCCCCGGAACGGCCCGCCCCGGCACAGCTTGCCCCGACCCGCTCCGTCCCGTCCCGGCCCGGCCCGCTCCACCCCGCCCTGTCGCTCTCTGCAGCGGAGCCCCAAGGCGGCGGCGCTCTCCGCACCACAAGCTCGCCCGCGACACCGCGCGCTCCACGCTCGCGGAGAAAAGTGCAAACTGCTTTGCAGACGAGAAACAACACCCTTCGGCTGGCAGAGATCGCTAAGGCAGTAGTGCCGTAGCGTTCTCGGAACCAAGGATCGCGGGTTCGAGTCCTGCCTCGGGCATGGTTGTATTGTGTTCGTCTTTTCACCCCCTATCGTCCTCATATCGTGTCAGCCTCACAGTTACCATACCGTTACAAGCAATAGAGGTTGCTAATGACCTAGAAGTTGATGTGACCTTAAATAACAAAAAAAATAGTGAGCAAAAGATGAAAACAATTAATAATCATTCAGAAGGTTATTTAAAAGTTGTCTTTGCCTTCTCCGCCTCATTCTCATCGTGAAACCTCGCATCTTTCTGCGGCACTCGTATTTAGAACTATAACTTGAAACAGTTTCCCATCTTCGTTCTTTGTGCCGGCTCCCTACAAATGTAGCGAGGAATAAATCCTAGATCACTAGCACGAATCGTGGGCCTCGTGCGGGATGCGGGCAGAGGCCTTGGGAGTGCGCGACGCCTCGCGAGCACCGCCTCCGAGGGGGACATCGCTCTTGGGCGCAGCGGCCGCCGCCCGCGGCGGGAGCGAACCCAGGGCACGTTGCGAGCGCTCCAGCGGCCCCTCCGTTCCCCCATCCCCCTCCACGCCGGCAATCTGGGCGCCGCCCCGCCCAGCCCCGGCCCTGGTCCCGGCCCGGCCCGCCCCCCTCACCCGCTCTGCCTATGCCCTGCCCGCCCCGCTCCGCCCCGCTCCGCCCCGCTCCGCCCCGTCCGCCCCGCTCCGCCCCGCTCCGCCCCGCTCCCGCCCCGCTTCCACCCGCTCCGGCCCCGCCCCGCTCCGCCCCGCTCCGCCCCCCCGCCCGCTCCGCCCCGCTCCGCCCCGCTCCGCCCCGCTCCGCCCCGCCTCCGCCCGCTCCGCCCCGCTCCGCCACGCTCCGCCCCCGCTAACCGCCCCGCTCCGCCACGCTCCGCCACGCTCCGGCCACGCTCCGGCCCGCTCCGCCCCCGCTCCCGCCCCGCTCCGCCCCGCTCCGCCCCGCTCCGCCACGCTCCGCCCCGCTCCGCCCCGCTCCGCCCCGCTCCGCCACGCTCCGCCACGCTCCGCCACGGCTCCGCCCACGCTCCGCCACCTCCGCCACGCTCCGCACGCCCGCCACGCTCCCGCCACGCTCCGCACGCTCCGCCACGCTCCGCCCCGCTCCGCCCCGCTTCCGCCCCGCTCGCCACGCTCCGCCCCGCTCCGCCCCGCTCCGCCCCGCTCCGCCCCGCTCCTTCCCGCCTCCGCCACGCTCCGCCCCGCTGTCCGCCACGCTCCGCCCCGCTCCGCCACGCTCCGCCACGCTCCGCCCCGCTTCCGCCCCCCGCTCCGCCACGCTCCGCCACGCTCCGCCACGCCTCCGCCACGCTCCCGCCCCGCTCCGCCCCGCCCGCCCCGCTCCGCGCCGCACGCCCCGAGAATGGCCGGGAAGCGGCTGCGGGTGACTGCCGTGGGCGTGTGACCGCTAGGGACCTCGGCGTGGCTCTAACTATTTTTCAGCTCTTTGCTACTTAAGACCATTACGCTCACAAAGCAGTTTGCCGGGTGGTCAGGTTTGATGGGAGACAAACGGTCTGCGGAGGGTAACCGCATAATTTCGATATTTCGTTCCCGGTTAGATGACATGGATAGGTAGAACTCTAGTTAGACCAAGCCAGTGCTCCTTCTATCTGCTAATTCAGAACTATTCATCTTCGCGTCCAATGGGCCTACGCTAGTATGTGTGTAAGTACCACACCAAACTAAAATGAAGCCCTGTGGCCGCATCGGTAAAATATAATGGGGCGAAGGCAGGTCAAATTGAAGGAGGAAAAGTGTTCTATAACATAAGATAGAAATAGAATAGACGAAGATAAAAAACACCACTTAAGTAGTGGTTTTACCTTGGGAAAAAAAATCCTTTGAAAGGGGTTTAAGAGGAAAAGGAAAATAAATGTCCCCTCCCCTTCCCTTTTTTCCTAGGTGGGGGGGTTTTGGG